AAATCTAATTTATTTGATTTTCTCCGTTGATAAAAAAATAGATATTATATTTCATGTTAATTAACTAAAAATTGCTTATTACGATAAGAGTGCAAAGCTTGATTAACAATATTTTCATTTTTACGAACTATTAACAAAGAAGCATGTACAAGAAAGAAGAGAAATCATTTGATTTGAAGAAAAGTGATGTAGTTCACTTTTTGCTAGCTACTGATAAAGAAAGTCCCACAAGATCTTGGCAAGTAGGACTGTGAAAGCTTAGGTTAAGTTCTTTCGAACTGGAACTGTCGCATTCCTATTGGCAAGAGTATTGATTTTAGCTAGAAGGTGTGGGTATGGATAAAGCATGGACACAACACCCACACTCTAAAGGTACACGTCTGTATATTTGCTAATAGAAATACAGAGCACAATAAAGTAGAATGGCACTCGGTAGACGATAATCATGATTGATGTTGACAACCATAAACGTTTATGAAAGAATGTTATCATTCATAAGAAATTTTTCGGATGCCAAGATATATTCTTCTGATTAATACGGTAAAACACATCTTTTTATATATGAATAAGATTTACTCTTCGGAATAAGATTTTTTAATATATCACGTAGATAAACAAACTATTTTTACGTACTTATTTATAATTGAATAACTTCTGATAGATAGTATTTCTGTCTACGAAGAAACATGTTTAAGACAAAGAACTTCTCATTGAATAAATATAATTACTATCTTAGTTATTTGCATTCTCTATTAAAAGATTAAAATTTTCTATGAATTAAATCGAATTGATTTACCTTTTTATTAATATATCCAACATAACCTCCCTAAAGAGATCATTTGCGAGTTATTCTATTCAATAAAAAAAATATTTTTTTCTCACTGTTATTTCTAGATGTAAGTCAATACAAAATACACGTGATTCTGATTTAAAACGTGCTTTTTTTAAATATATGAATAAAAACATTCTTCATATGATCAATAACGATATATTTTTCTTTTATCTCAAATCTAACTCATAATAAATATTATTTAAATTTTCTGTCAAATGGTGTCATGGATGAGATTGTATGTAAATACGAAAAATAAATAATATTATTTCTCAATACTTGCGTAATTACTTTTCGTTATAAATTTTATGAATTTCTTAATTGTGCTCGTATAGCTAAATGGCTGATCATGCAGAATGGCTTGATTATTTTACACCAGTTAATTTCTCGTCAAGTATGATATTCGTACTTGTGATAAATTCGACGAAGATGAATTATTAGCACGAGCAAAATGGGCTTGGAATATTGGACGAAATGAAAAACAGTACAGAAATGAACATGGTTTGATATATGAAGTCTCTGTACCAACATTATTAAACCGTTATTTTCTCGTATATGAATCGGATCAATTATCTAGCAAAGTACCTTTGTTAATATTTTTCCATGGTTTGAATTCGTCAGCTTGGTTTATGGCTTTAGTTCGAACAAAATGGATTGAAAAAGCGAATATTAATAATTGTTTAGTTGTTTTCGGACAGAGTAAAGGTAAACAATTTCGAAAAGGACCTAAATATAATCGACATAGTGCAGTACAATTTGGTGATGATTTATCTTGGGAAATTCAAGAACCTGATGATGATTTTATTTATCTTGATTTTATTCTTGATTATATGAAAGAACGTTATGCAGAAAAATTAGATTTATCTCGTATTTACTATACTGATTATTCTAATACTGGTCTATTCAGTTCAAATGTTGCTATTCATTATGGTGGACATGTTTTTAGCGCAGTTTGTAATCATTGTGGAGGTTATGGTGGTCTAGGATATAAAAATGAAGAATTACTTGATCCAAATACGATTAAAAAACCAGTACCAATTTATATACTAACCGGCACTCGAGATAGCTACTTAGCAAGTTGTGAAAAAGCAAAAAACCTATTTGAAAATGCCGGATGTCCTGTAAAAATAGACATTATGAATGATAGAAGTCACCGTTATTACGTAGATAAAGAAACAGATTTTTGGAATTTTTTAAGTTCATATCAAAATAAAAATGATTAATAAATAAATATGTATTCTATCAACTCCATAAAAAAACTATTTTGTATTTTCGTATTTGAATCTAGTAGATAGATTTTAATATTTATTCTATATTGAATTATACATCTTGAGAGTGTAGGAGTCGGTCTTCTATTAACCCACACCCTCAAAGGAATTTCGTGGAATAGAGATCGATTAAAATCTGATTTTCTCCTTGTTTTTTACATGGGCAGTCATTCATTCTTGTTTTGTTGCGACTAATAATAGCAAAGATAACGCACATATTGAAGCAATCTAGGATTACAGAGTCTATAGTTTGCTTTCCCTTTCTATCTGTAGATAAATAATCATGTTTTCTTCACCTATGAATAAGTTTTATCTTTATTATATGCACGCAGCTGTCTCAAGCTTATTTCGTTCTTCCTACATTAGTATATTATTAGCTTATACCTTTCGTTTCTTAATGCATAGTGTATTTCCTTATTCCCGTAAATGAAATGTCTTCTTTATATTTTTTTTCTATATCGATATTCTAATATTAATCTAGTTTTACTCGTTCTTGTATGTCTAATGGATCTTTCTTTGATGGAATAGTACATTAGAGGTGAAAAAGAATATTGTAACGTGACAATTTTGAATATGGCTAGTATTTATTTGAGCACTAAAAAGATTCTATTCGAGCAGTTTTAAATTATGAAATAAGTAATAATTAATCCATTAAATAGCAATATTAATTTCATATTTTAGTATTAAGAAAAAGAAGAACTCCAGCTTTTATTTCTACAATGGATCCTATGAAAAAGTAAAATGAGCAATTAATGTACTATTGTAGTAATAAAGCTTTTTTTGCTTTAGATGGTCTGCCTCTTTTCCTTTTTGTGCCGATATTCACATTTTTTGAGTGTGGGT